CTCAGAGGAGGCCAGGCCCTGGTCCCCCTGCCAGCCTGCAGGCCTCAGGATGGGCCCAGGAGGAAAGGCCTTGGCCACAGGGCTCCGGCCCCTCAGGCAGGGGGCTCTGGGAGTGGAGAGACCCTGGGAGTCCGAGAAAGCTGGGGCCACAGAGCCCCGGGACCCTGTCTCAGTTTTTAGTGATCCTGATGCAGCTGTCAGTGGTCTTCTGACCCCAAAGTTGTGGAAAGAGAAAAGTGTGTGAGAGGGTGCACATGTGTCTGCGTGTGTCTGCATGCATGTGGCTGCGCATCCATGTGTGCCTGTGTGTATGTGACTGTGTGTACGTGTGTGCATGTCATTATGCATGTGTGTACAAGTCTGTCAGTGTGTGACTGTGTGTATGTCTATGTGAATGTGTGCATGTATGTGTACGTCTGTTAGCATGTGTGCACCTGTGTATATGTGTGCATGTCTGTGTGACTGTATGTATGCCTATGTGAATGTGTGCATGTATGTGTACATGTCTGTTAGTACGTGTGCCTGTGTATGTGTGTGCATGTCTGTGTGTACGTATGTCTATGTGAATGTGTGCATGTATATGTACATGTCTGTTAGTATGTGTGTGCCTGTGTGCATGTCTGTGTGTGTGACTGTGTATATGTATGTCTATGTGAATGTGTGCATGTATGTGTACATGTCTGTTAGTATGTGTGCGCCTGTGTATGTGTGCATTTCTATCAGTGTGACTGTGTGTACCTATGTCTATGTGAATATGTGCATGTATGTATACATGTCTGTTAGTGTGTGTGCCCGTGTATGTGTGTGCATGTCTGTGTGTGACTGTGTATATGTATATGTGAATGTGTGCATGCATGTACACATGTCTGTTAGTATGTGTGCCTGTGTGTGTTTGCATGTCTGTCAGTTTGTATGACTGTACATATGTCTGTGTGAATGTGTGCATGTATGTGCACATGTCTGTTAGTATGTGTGTGCCTATCAGTGTGTGTGACTGTGTGTGCGTATGTCTATGTGAATGTGTGCATGTATGCATATGTCTATTAGTATGTGTGTGCCTGTGTGTACGTGCATACATATCTGTGTCTATGGGAACATACATACCTGTGTACATGTGTCTGGGTAGGGGGGTGTGTGTCCATTCACACCTATATCCATGAGTCAGCACCTATCTGTGCGGGTGTCCATGTGTGAATGTGTGCATGTGCACATGTATCTGTGGGATGTGTGTGGGAGTGTGCTGCAGCCTCTGTCAAAGCAGGGCAGGGGAGGTCTCAGCCTGGCCATCATCTTCCCCACCAGGCGCCCCCACATTGTACAGCCCTCCCCTCCAACTGGAACCTCCCGTTAAGCCATCCCAACATCTGGGCCTGTGTCCCAGCCAAGTGGCTGTCCCCAGGTGGGGACTCAGAGGGGTTTTCATTTCCATACAGGATACTCCTTCCCTAGCTGTTCCTAAAGAATCCACAAGGTCAGGGAAAAGGTGCTTGGAGGGCACATGCAATTGAGGATGAGCCAGCAAGTTTCAAAACGGATACACCGACATCCCTTGCAGAGAATTCCTCACCACCAGCAGTGGAGAGAAGAGAGAGAAACACAGAGGGAGACAAAGAAAGAGAAGGGGGAAGGGAAACCTGGCCTCGGAGCACAGGCCTGGCCACATGTCGTACAGGTGCAGATGCAGGTCGGCTAACCCAGGTTGACCCTCAGGGAAGGCCACCAGCGCTCGGTGAATATCGTGCTTTGTATCTCAAATAAAGCCAGGTGATGGGATCAGGAACCACAGCCTGGATGATGTTCCTGCACACAAGCCGGGGATCAAAGTGCACAAACAGGCTCCCAAGCAGGCACCGGAGGACCTGGGCGTTAGGGCTGGGCTGGGATAAGTCTCTAGTCTTGGATCCTTTCTGGAATCGAGGGGTGATTACAGAGATCTTACCAGGCCCTGGAACCTGATGGCCTTCAAGGATTTAGTAAAAAGGCACTGGGCCTGGGAAGCTTTAGCAGAGACACAGTGGGGAGTTACCCAGTCCTCTCTGAATTAGAAACTCGGGCAAGGAACCCAGCAGGGAGAGGCAAGGCCAGGGAGGGAGAATAACAATATAAAAAGGAAAACAAGATAAGGAGAAGGTCTGGGCGGTGGAGGCCTGTGGGGGCGGCCCAGCCTGGAGGAATGTCGGGGGAGGGGCACGGCTCCAGCAGAGAGGGCTGGGGAGGTGGGAGGAGTGTCCCTTCCAGCAGAACAGGGCTTTAAACCACAGGTGTGTGGTGAGGGCCAGAGCATGGGAGGGGTGCTGGGCTTAGGATCCGGCTGCTGAAAGGTGGGGGTCTGCAGAGCGGGCGCTTCCGGGAAGAAGGCGCAACCAGGAAGCAGCCCCAGCTTGAGGCAGTGGGACACGCTGCAGGCAGGTTAGCAGATGGGCAGGTGGGCACACAGGTTAGCACACAAGTGAGCTTGGAGCCTGGGAGGGGTGCTGTGCTTAGTATTTGCCTGCTGGAAGGGTTGCAGAGCAGGCGCTCCTGGGAAGAAGGTGCAACCAGGAAGAAGCCCCAGCGAGGGGCAGTGAGACACGCTTCAGGCAGGTTAGCAGTTTAGCAGGTGGACATGAAGGTGAGCACACTGGGGAGCTGGCTCCAGCTGTCCCTTCCCTCCCTTGTAGGAGGCTGCCCAGGGAAAACAGGCAGGGCTGGGTAGGTGCATGTTAACTAACAGCGGCCAGGCACTTCCCACATCCTAAAATGGCAGGGGGCTGGGACCACCTTCCCCACAACCACTCGTGGAGGACCACACATCAGGACCCGGGCCTGGGGAGGCCAGGGGCCCGAGGATGCTCTGACAGTCACCACGGCCAGATCCTGGTCAACTCGTGAGCTCAGGCCACAGCCCTTGTCCTCAATCAGCCTCACCGCACAAAATGTAAAGCAAGCGACATTTCAAAGACAAGGAGCCCCTGGCCTTTGACAGGGAGAAGTTCATGGATGATTTTCATGCGTTTGCAGGAAGTTGTGCTTGGACGGTTCCCTCGGGCCTGGGGTCTCCCAAGGGTGTGGCGGAGGATGCAGTGGAGACTAGGGTCCCAGGAGGGGTGGGCCTGGTGTGCTGGAGCCGGCTGGGACTCAGCCAGCCTCTGGACCCTGCCCCTGCTCCAACCAGGCTCTCCCCAGCATCCGCCTGCCTGCAGGAACCCGAAACAGAAACAGACAGCAAGCTAATGGCCAGCTCCAAAAACCAGAGGCAAAGCGGGTTATCATTTGGCATGGGGGCTGGGAAGGAGGGCAGAACTCTGGGCACGAGATGACGCTGAAAGGAAGCCGGCAGAGGCTGCTGGGGCCAGGCTGTGAAAGGACGGGAAGGAGGCCTCCCCAGCATCAAAGCCACTCAGCCACATGCAGAAGGGTGAGGGGGACGGACATGCCAGCACAGAAACCATCTGACCCAACTGCAGTTGTATTAAAGTGTTGGGATCCTGAGTGCTGTTTTCATTTTATCTTCATTTCACACCTTTGTAAATGAAGTTATTAAATTAAAATTGGAAAACCAGGTAGGGGACTGACTTGGGAAGAACAGCACAGTACCTCCAGGCCGCCTTCAGTCTAATTGACATGGGCCCTGCGTGTCCAGGAGGACAGTGAGGAGGGGCTGCAGCGGGGCCTTGCAGTGCTGCGCAGAGCGGGCACCGTGGGGTGGGGGTGAATCCTGCTGCCCTTAACTCCCATCACCAGCACGCCCCATGCTGCAGTCCCTGTGCACGCAGAATGTTCAGGGTGAGGACGCTGTTGGAGGGCACTACACCAGCCACACGACCAAGCCCACGGCTGGGCGGCGAATCCGAGCGACCAGGGCACACAAGCCCACGCTGCTTCGGCCAGCGGCGCAGGCCAGGATTCATCATTAAAGAAACGGGAAAACAGAGAGGCCTGGGAGAGCGACCAGCTAGGCTGCACTGAAGGAGGGCACGGGCCTGTGGGGCTGTGAGTGCTGAGAGTAGCCGCCTGAGAACAGCCCCAGGTGCGTCATCTCTGCAGGGATGAGCTATGCCCACAGGTGCACAGCGGCCATCTGACAGCCTCAGAGCTTTCAGAAAAGCAGATAGATCTAAGAGGGCTCAAGTCAACCACTAGAAATGTAAGCGGAAACAGGCCTCCATGGGTCATCCTGAACCACTCTTTCATCTCAGGTGACATTTAGTCCACCCCAGGAGAATTCCTTAAAAGGAACATTCCAGTAGAACTGACTGTGAAATCACCCAGACTTCAGGGCAGGAGGGACGTCAATGGGAATGCACACCTTCTCGGACTTTCCAAAGTCACCCGCTCCCCGAGCCCGCAGGATAGAGTGGCCAGGCCGTCCTCACACGGCGGCTCCTGCGGGGGCGGCCCCAGGTTCCCCGCCTCCTCCAAGGACATTCCTAACCGAGGTGCCGCGGCCAGCACCGCCGGGCTCCTCAACGCACCCGCTGCCTTTGGGAGAGCACCTGGCAGAAAGGGGCCGCGGAGCCGCCCTCCCCTCCCGCAAGCGGCCCCGCTCGATTCCTGGAATCATATTTTTGGACCTGCTGCCGCAAGCAGTTCCCGCCCTCGGCCCTTTCAATTCCTCTTTCGGGAGGGGACCGCTCTCCACCCCTCTCAGGAGGGCGAGGCGCGGCCCGGGGGTCCCTCACCTCCAGCCCAGCAGAGGGAGGGCCGCGGGGAAGCGGTCTGGGTTTTAACCATTGTGTTCCTTTCGCACTTTGGAAACGGACTCCCGGCTTCCCCGCGGGGAGGCGTCTGACAGCGAGCGTTTCCCGGACAGCCCCGCGGCGTCCCACCGGCCTGCGCGGGGATTCTGGGGTCGCCGGGGGATGGGCGCGGGGGACGCGGGGTGGGCCGGGACTCCTGGGACCCTGAGGCCAGGCCTCGCCGGGCGGAGCTGGGGGGCGGCGGCAGCGCTGCCCCTCGGGAGGGGTCGGAGGCGCGCGGGGGCCCGGGGTTCCCCCGCATCCCGCCCGCCGGCCGCTCACCGTCTCGGGGTCGTTCTCGAACACCTCCCGCGCCTCCTCGCGGGTGCACAGCTCCTCCACGCACTCCCTCTCCAGGTGGCCCTGCTTGGCCTCCTCGAAGACCTGGAAGGCGCGGCGCTGCCTGGGCCGCAGGAACTGCGTGGCCTCGCGCGCCGGCAACAACGCGGCTGCCCGGAGGGAGAGAGGAGGACGCGTCAAGCCGCGCCCGGAGCCTCCTCCCGCCGCCCGGGGACGGGGTCTCGGGCCCGCGGGACTCACCGAGCGCGCACTCCGAGGCCAGCAGCAGCAGCAGCAGCCGCAGCGGCGCGGCGCGCGGGGCGGCGGGCCCGGGCGAGGGCGAAGGGGCCATGGCGGGCCGGGGACGCGCGGTCAGAGCGCCCGGGAGGCCGAGGCGAGCCGCGGGCGCCGCGGGGCGGAGGCTCCGGTCATCCCGTCCTGGCGGCCCTGAAGGTCACATCGCGGCGGCGGCAGCGGCTGCGGCACCTCGGGCGCTCGGTCTGGGCGGGTTCGGGCGGCTGCGCGCGGAGAGGCGGCGGGGGCGGGACCAGGCGCGGGCGGGGCGCGGGTTCCCGGGAGGATCCGGGCGCGGGGAAAGCGGAGCATCCGGGACGCGGCGGGACTCTAGTGTCTCGGAAAAGGAGCGTCTCCCTAGGTAGTGGTTGTCTTCACTAGCGATGGGGTAAAAGGAGGACGCAATACCTGGTTCAACTTGAGCAGGTACATTTTGACCATATTCCAGGTGTCATGTGAAGATTTAAGCCTCTTTCCAACCCCCATTCCCCCCGAATCTACTGCATCCTTTTTGGAATCTTCATGCTTAAGCACATTTTGTCAAGACTTAAAACCTACCAAAGATTTTAAAGATGCACTGAGGTCAGATCCAATCCCACTGGGAGCCAGCGAGTGAAATGCGACGGTTTCCTTTTGTAATCTCTGTTTTTCGTAATGATGACATTCAAAATCTTGAGGTTTCCCAGTAGATATTTAAGCTGAAAGCAACATTGTGCTTGTCTTCAGAGACCAAGACTTTCTGGCTCTTGTCTTGGAATATTTCGCAAAGTCATAGGCAAAACACACACAAACGAACAGAATCAAAACACAGCAGACCACTCACAGGGGACCCGAAGCAGGCAGTTAGCCCAGCATCCCCCTGCTGCGGGGAGGAGGGAGCTTGGATACTCCTCTCTGGAGAATCTTGCTCTGGAAATCCCCACCCCCCAAAATGCAATGAAAAGGGGCAATGAGTCAGCACCCCACCCCGAATGGATGGCCATTCTGCTCAGCAGGCTCAACGCTGAGATTCCCAGATTGCAGTTTCTCTTTGCTTTCTGTACTTGGAAGAATGGAATGGGATTGTTGGTAGAAATCTTTGAGGTCACTGGTTTGAAAGTGGGATTATGAGCATGAATATGTTTTTAGTTTTTTTTGTTTTGTTTTGTTTTGAGACGGAGTCTTGCTCTGTCGCCCAGGCTGGAGTGCAGTGGCGCTATCTCGGCTCACTGCAAGCTCCGTCTCCCGGGTTCACGCCATTCTCCTGCCTCAGCCTCCTGAGTAGCTGGGACCACAGGCGCCCGCCACCACGCCTGGCTAATTTTTTGTATTTTTAGTAGAGACGGGGTTTCACCGTGTTAGCCAGGATGGTCTCAATCTCCTGACCTCATGATCCGCCCACCTCAGCCTCCCAAAGTGCTGGGATTACAGGCGTGAGCCACCGCGCCCGGCCGAGCATGAATATGTTAATTTAGGCAAATGGAAAATGAATGTCCGTGGGAATGATCTTCAAAGAGAATTAAAATGGGATAGAGAAATCATCTATCTGCACCTGTGTCTGAACCAGAGCGGCCAGGCACTCCCATGTCAGCTAGTTACTGCAGCAGGTGGAGTAAGGAGTGCCCCTGGGCTTCTGCCCCGAAACCACCACGGCTACTTCAAAACAATATTTAATTTTCCTGCTTGTTCTTGAGAAGCACTGGTTTCAAAAATTGGATGGGGTGATACATGCTTGAATCAGTATTTACAAGGCTCCTAATCACTTCATCAGACAGATAATTCATTGAGCACCGGCTGGGTGCCAGGCAGTGTCTGAGGCACTTCTAGCCATTATTTCCCAAGGGTTCCAGCAGCCCATGGATACACTTCAAAGGGTGTAAGCTCCTAAAAATTGTTCGTAATTATTTTCTGCACATTTTTGTAGTTTTGGGGAAGAGAGTTTATGGAGTTCTTGCAATTCTCAGAATTATTTGGTCCCTTTGGGAATGAGCATCTCTAGCCTCTGCCTGTTCATCTGGGACACTCTGCCCCTCGGTGTGGGCCGGCTGCTTCAGGTCAGTAGGTATCAGAATGACCTCAGTTGGATGGGGCAGTTCAGGACCCCTGGCCTCCTTTTAGTCTGGACCCTACTCTTATTCCCCATATTCTCGATTCTCTCTTTCCACTGAGTTACTACCTTAGTAATGACACTGCCTCCTATCATGTAGAGACTTGGTTTGATAAAATGCATTCACATACAACTGCTCATTTTGGTTTCTATAACTGGGGAATACAGAAAGCACATGTGGGGTGCAATGAAGGATGTCTCCATTACCCCAGATAACTCCAAAATCCTTCACCTAGTTACCAGGGCAGGAAATTCGTTCTAAGGCAGAAATGGAAAATGAGTAAGAAACAATTTGGATGTGTTCCAAAAACAGAGAGAGTTGTCAGGCACTATATTATACAACCTGAAATAGCAATGGTGAAGTAGACAGTTCACCTCCACAGGGGGCAGGAGGAGGTTGGACCCAGGGCAATGGATGTTTTGTATGAATGGTTAACCAGTCTGTGGCCATGAGGTGGAAAGCTGTGTACACCTGTGAAGCCATCATCACAATCAAGTTAGGGAACATATCCATCACCCAAAAAAGTATTCTCATGCCCTTTGGTAATTCCTCCCTTCTAAATGTCCCCACCCTACCCCACATCCCAGTCCCTGTGCAAAACCGCTGACCAGCTTTCTATCACGATAGATTTGTTTGCATTTTCTAGACTTTTATATAAAAAGAATTATACTATATACACACTTTTTTGTCTTTTTTTTCACTTAACATATTTATTTTCAGAATCATCTATCTTGTTGCAGGTGCATTCTTTTTATTGCTCAGTAGTATTCCACTGTATGGATATAACACAATTTGTTTATCATTCACCCGTTGAGGGACATTTTACTTGCTTCTAAATTTTTACTATTACAAATAAAGCTGCCGTAGGCATTCGTGTGTGTGTCCACTGTGTGGACGTTGTGTGCGCACATGCTTCCATTTCTCTTGGGGAAATATCTAGGAGCAGAGTGTCTGGATCACACGGTAGGTATCTGTTTAACTTTTTAAGCTGTTTTTCAAAGTGGTTATACCGTTTTACATTTTCACCATCAATGCATGAGGGTCCCAGTTGCTCCACATCCCCACCCATGCTTTCTGTGGTCACTTTAAAATTTTTTATTCACTCTAATATGTATATAATGGTATCTCATTGTAGTTTAAATTTGCATTTTTCAAATAACTAGTGATGTCGAACAAATTTTATTGTGCTTATTGCCGTCCAGGTATCTTCTCTGGTGAAACGTCTGTTTCAGTTTTACTTTATTACTTTTCCTTTACTTGGTGATATGGTTTGACTGTGTCCCCACCCAAATCTCATCTTGACTTCCCACGTGTTATGGGAGGGACCTGGTGGGAGGTAATTGAATCATGGGGGTAAGTCTTTCCCATGCTGTTGTCATGATAGTGAATAAGTCTTACAAGATCTGATGGTTTTAAAAAGAGGACTTCCCCTGCACAAGCTCTCTGTCTGTGCTTTCTGCCATCCATTTAAGATGTGACTTGCTCCTCCTTACCTTCTGCCGTGATTGTGAGGCTTCCCCAGCCACGTGGAACTGTACGTCCAAAATAAACCTCTTTCCTTTATAAACTGCCCAGTCTCAGGTATGTCTTTATCAGCAGCATGAAATTGACTCATACACTTGGAATGTTTGGTTTTCCAATTGTTGAGCTGTTTGTTGAGTTTTAAGAGTTCTATAGCTATTTTAGAAGCAAGTCCATTATCAGATGTGTGGTTTGCAAATATTTATTTCCAGTCTGTGGCTTGTCTTTTCATTCTATTAAATGTGTCTTTAGCCAGGCATGGTAGTGGGTGCCTGTAGTTTCAGCTACTTGAGAGGCTGAGGCAGGAGGATTTCTTGAGCCCAGGAGTCTAAGGCTGGCCTGTGCAATAGAGTGACACCCTGTCTCCAAGATAAAAAGAAATTAAAGTGTCTTTCAAAGATCAGAATTCTTTTTTTTTTTTTTTTTTTTTTTTTTTGAGACGGAGTCTCGCTCTGTCGCCCAGGCTGGAGTGCAGTGGCCGGATCTCAGCTCACTGCAAGCTCCGCCTCCCGGGTTCACGCCATTCTCCTGCCTCAGCCTCCCGAGTAGCTGGGACTACAGGCGCCCGCCACCTCGCCTGGCTAGTTTTTTGTATTTTTTTAGTAGAGATGGGGTTTCACCGTGTTAGCCAGGATGGTCTCGATCTGCTGACCTCGTGATCCGCCCGTCTCGGCCTCCCAAAGTGCTGGGATTACAGGCTTGAGCCACCGCGCCCGGCCTATAATTTTTAAAATTATTTTTCCTTTATCCTATTTTTGTCTTCATGTTTAAGGTAGGTTTCTTGTAGGTGGCATGTAACTGAGTCTTCCTTTTTTTAATCCAATCTGATATTTACCTTTTAATCGGGGTATTAGATCATTTTCATTCAATATAATTATTAAAATGATTTGGTCTCAACCTACTACCTTGTTATTTGTTTTCTATTACTCCCATTTGCTGTTTCTTTTCCTTTATTTTATTTTATTTTATTTTTTGCCTTCTTTTGGATTAACCAAATTTTTTATGATATAATTTTCTCCCTTGTTGGCTTATTCACTGTAGCTGTTTGTTGTGTTATTTTGGTGTTACTTTGTAATGTTTATTATACAGTTTTAACTTATTAGAGTCATCTGTTCACTTGCCGCAGTCTGTTTCTCTTTCTCTCCTCTCTTTATGTTGTTGTTTTCTTGCATTTTACTTCTATGTGTGTTATAAACCTTACAATACAGAGTTTTATTTTTTGCCTTAAACAATGCTTTTAAAAATATTTAAATAATGAGAAAAAATATATTTACTCATATCTTTATCATTTCCAGCACTGCTATTTCTTTGAGTAGATACAGACTCAGTCTGGTATCTTTTTTTTTTTTTTTTTGTCTGCCCCAACAAAAACTTTAAAATGTTCTTGAGCATATATGTGTTGGTGACACATTCTTTCAGTTTTTGTATGTCTTCAAAAGTTATTATTTTTCTTGAAGGATCTTTTTTACTGGAAATAGAATTCTAGACTGACAGTTTCCCCTGTGCCTTTTAATTTTAAAGACATTGCCCTCCTGTATTTTAGTGTATATTGTCTCCAACAGGAAATCTGCAATCATTCTCTTCTTTGTTCATCTGTACCTAATATCTTTTTCCTCCGGCT